AGGATTAAATACATTAGACTTTGAGTCAATGATAGGAATGTTCAGAATAAATTGGATAAAAGCCTTTCTATCACAAACTGAATCCATATGGTTTCATATCCCCAAAAATATACTTAAAAAAGTGGGAGGTTTAGATTTTTTGTTAAAATGTTATTATGTAATTACAAAATTACCTGTAAAACTATCAGAATTTCATAAGCAAGTATTACACTACTGGAAAATGTTATTTACACATAATTTTAGCCTGCATGGCTCCACCTTATGGAATAACAGAACAATCACAATAAATAGAAAAACTCTATTTACACAAACTTGGTATGACAAGAAAATAATATTTGTAGCTGACCTGATGGATAATCAAGGGTCAATCATGAAACTGGATTCCTTCAAAGAAAAATTTGATATACAGTGCTCTTATAGAGAATACAGTAAAATATGTCATGCAATACCAGCTCCATTAACCCAGCAAATTCAAAACACACTTTCACATTCAGAAGTAAGGATAATCTTACCAGATATTCGAATTGGACAAATCCAAATTGGAGATAAAAAAAAATGCAGCAATAAAGTCATACGGAATAAGTTTAAAGAAATTCTTTTTCATGATCTTGCAAGAGCTATAAATATTAATACAAGCGAGAGCAACTCAAAAATCTCAAACCAAGCCATGGTTAAATACCTATGAAATGGCGCAATCTCCCCAAAAGCAAAAGAATTACAATTTAAAATGAGTGTGTACTATCATACAGTAAACACAAAAACAGATCACTTCCCAGGCTTGAGGTACTACTCGGAGTTTGAACCAAACGGCAAAAGGTGCGCTTGCTTACAGTGTGTGCACCATTAATTATTGATTCTTTGATTTGATTGAGTGAGTAATTAAGGCTCAGTGTGTTGTTTATATCAGGGAGACTGTTCAGAAATTTGTATTTTGAACAGTACTGAGAAATAATTACAGTTAAATGTTGATAGTCTGATGTTTTTATTAGTAATGTGAGAAACATTTGTCAGTTAAAACTCAAATAACACAACTGTATTTTAAGGCCTCAGTCTGTTAGCATGATAGCATAACCTGGGACCTGTTAGCCTTAGCACGAGTCTCAGGATGTTTATCATTTAAAAGGTTTTATTTATATTTCCATAAGATATAATCTCACATCAGCTCACAGACATATCAAACACTTTTTGAATTCTCGGCTCCAGATTCGGTTTTATTCCACGGAGAAACAGCGAGCGAAGGAGAATCCAACCGATCGAACTTTCCTCACCAAGCTTTGGAAACACAGAGACATTTTCAACAGCTTCGAGTCGGACTACAAGTTCCCAGAGAGCCGACAGGTCTGGAGGAGTCGTCTGAGGAAGGTGATTAAGAAATATTTATCATATTATTTTTTTTTATGAGGAAAATGTTTCACGTTTATTTATTTTTTACATTTGACATTACATTTAAACACATAAACATATGAAAAATATTCTGAATGTACCAAAACACAAATATATTACAAATACATTTAAAAATAACAAGAAATCAGTCACAGTCTCGGGACATTATAGGATATAATGGATATATGGATAGGATATAAAAATAAAATAAATGTATTTCAAAGTCCACCAACAAAAACAGTATTTTTATCTCACAGAACACGAGAGTGAAACATTAGACCTGCAACTGTGTGCTGTGTCATGCTAACTAACTGAGGGTGACAGTAAATATAAAATCTCCTCAATAGTTTCCTGTCAACCTGGATTTACATTTTACTTTATTTGCATGAGTTTAAGCTCGGATCTGCAGCCCTCATCCAAGCTTACCATGTCATAGAGTTTTTCTACAGATTTGGAGAGGTCCAGAAGCCTGGATATAAAGGAACGTCCCTGGGGAATAACACGCATGGCAAAATTAAGATGTCCAAGCAAGGAGAGCAGTTCTCTTTTGGAAAATACTACTGCTTCCTGTGCTTTTCTCATTACCTCTCTGATGCAATTTAATTTTTGTAGAGGCAGGGAGGCTTGCATCCGGACGCTATCTAGAGTGCTGCCTAGAAACTCTATAGCCTTACATGGACCTGATGTTTTCTCCTCAGATAGTGGAACCCCTAATGTTTTAAAGGTATGTTTTAGAGCAGAAATGCATTGGTCTGATTTTGAATTTGGATAGTCAACTAACAGAAAATTGTGGAAGAGGTGGAGCACGAAAGGCAGTTTGCAGCAAAGAGACAATGTGTCAAATATTTTGGGGCTGCTGCGACAACCAAAGGTGAGCCTGACTGAGAAGTACATTTTTCCTCTCCATTTGATGCCGAACAGATGCCACTGTGAAGGGTGTAATGGCATGACTTTAAATGCATCTGTGACATCTGCCTTGGCTAGCCATGCGCCTCTACCTGCTTTCTTAATCAACTTGATGGCATCGTCGATTGTAGCATAAAATAAGGAGAAAGGTGCCAGAGGAATTTTGTAGAGGAAGCAGCACAGATAGGCAGGCTAAAACGCTATGCTTAATTTCAAACAGACACGTTGAACTGGAAGCACAATATTTCACAGCATGTACAGAATATATTTAAATACATTGAAATCAAACATAAGCCCAGCTCTATCTCACTTTGTTAGCTGGAACATTTTCAATGTATTGCAGTGGCTGATTGAATATCGTATTGCAGGTTCTATGGATCTGGTGGAGCCTGCCTGCCAATGGTTCGCTGCTGGAAATGTGCCATTCGATTACTGTTGTTGCTATGCACCTGTCTGTCTGTCTGTCTGTCCATCTCTCCTGTCTTGTCTGTCTCTCTCCTCTCTCTTTTTCTCTCTCTCAGCCCAACTGGTCGAGACAGACGAACACCCACCTAGAGCACGAAGGGTCTGTCCTAGGTTTCTGCCTGTTAACAGGCAGTTTTTCTTGCTTGTGCCAAGTGCTGTCATGGTGGTACTGTTGGTTCTGTAATGTATAAGGGTTCGGGGTCTAACTGTCATTTGAAAAGT